ATCCATGATTCTCTCTCATCATTGATGTTTCTCTCTCTCTCTCACTCTCCCTTTCTCTCTGAAATCAATAAGAATATATTTTTTTAAAAAGCATCCAATAAATGCACCAATAAGTAGAACAACAAATTTCTGTCTCTCACTCCCTTCCTTTCTCTCTAAAATCAATAAAAATATGTTTTAAAGCCCTGACCAGTTTGGCTCAGTGGCTAGAGCGTCGGCCTGTGGACTGAAGAGTCCCAGGTTCGATTCCGGTCAAGGGCATGTACCTTGGTTGCAGGCACATCCCCAGTAGGCGGTGTGCAGGAGGCAGCTGATGGATGTTTCTCTCTCATCGATGTTTCTAACTCTCTATCCCTCTCCCTTCCTCTCTGTAAAAAATCAATAAAATATATTTTTTAAAAATGTTTTAAAAAAGAAAAGTGGTCCCTGCAACAGCAGCATTGGCATTGCCTGGGACTCGTTAGAAAGGCAGCCACTGGGCCCCGATCCAGGCCTGCAGGAGCCGGACCTGCCATTTAAAAAAAAAAATTTTTTTATTGATTTTTTTTACAGAGAGGAAGGGAGAGGGATAGAGAGTTAGAAACATCGATGAGAGAGAAACATCGATCAGCTGCCTCCTGCACACCCCCTACTGGGGATGTGCGCGCAACCAAGGTACATGCCCTTGACTGGAATCGAACCTGGGACCTTTCAGTCCGCAGGCCGACGCTCTATCCACTGAGCCAAACCGGTTAGGACCGGACCTGCCATTTCACAAGACCCCTGAAGTCTGCGGTGCTTGTGACTCTAGGGAGAGGGCAGAGGTGGGAGGGAGGGGGAGCAAAGGGCACAGCTAGCCCAGGCCCCGGCATCCTAGACCTGGCATTCTAGAAGCTTCTGCTGGGACCCGGCGACCAGGCCGGGAGAGACCGATTCCCTGTGCCCACGGCCGGCCCGTGTCACCGAGCTGTGGTGGGGACAGCTCCGGGTCAGTGGCCAGCACCAGAGGGAAGCACCCGAAACCGGAGCTCTGCGGGGCTGGGCGGGACACGGGGCCCCTGATGGGTGGGGACCATACACACAGGCTCTGTTTGTGCATACACAGCCCCAGGCGGGGAGTCTGGGCGGGACACGGGGCCCCCCCGTGGGTGGGGACCATCAGGCTCTGTTTGTGCATACACAGCCCCAGGCGGGGAGGGAGCCCAGTTACAGAGCGACCAGTCCTGGGCACCCTGAACCCCCTGGGGAGGGTGGGACCCTTACGGCTGCTGGGTCCCCCGGCCCCTCACCAGGTGTGGAGGCTACTGACGAGGACTCAGGTCCCTTCAGCCACAGAGAGGCCCTCCTGGTGGGCAGGCGGGTGGCACTCAGCTGTCACGCTAGGGTGACCATCCGTCCCATTAGCCCAGGGCAGCCCTGTGTACACCTGCTGTCCTGGTGTAATTATTAATAATGCCCCCTCTCGCTCTGGTCTGGATGACACATTTAAGGGTCACCCTGGCGATAGCCCAAGTTTGATCCCCAGAACCAAAGGAAGGTGACTCTAAAGGGGACTGGTCCAGGAGTCGGGAGCTGACACCTGGGGGCCTTAGGCCAGTCCTCTCTGGCTGCAGGTGCCTCGTCTCAATGGAAGAGGTTGGCCCGGCTGGCGTGGCTCAGTGGTTCAGCATCAACCTATGAACCAGGAGGTCACGATTCGAGTCCCAGTCAGGACACATGCCCGAGTTGCAGGCTCGATCCCGAGTAGGGGGCGTGCAGGAGGCAGCCGATCAGTGATTCTCTCTCATCATTGATGTTTCTATCTCTCTCTTTCTCCCTCCCTCTCTGAAATCAATACAAATTTATTTAAAAAAATAAAACTTATTTAAAAAAAAGAGGTTGAACAGATGGGCCCTTCTAGTGGCCCGAGTTGCAGGCTCGATCCCGAGTAGGGGGCGTGCAGGAGGCAGCCGATCAGTGATTCTCTCTCATCATTGATGTTTCTATCTCTCTCTTTCTCCCTCCCTCTCTGAAATCAATACAAATTTATTTAAAAAATAAAACTTATAAAAAAAAAAAGAGGTTGAACAGATGGGCCCTTCTAGTGGGGAGTTAATGAACGTGAGACATGGGTCCGTGGGGTGTCCATAGGTGGGGGAGGACATGGACCCTTCCCAGGCGGCTTTGACTCCGTGGCCTCTGGGAACCCCACCTTCTGCTGGTTCTTCTTCCAGGGCCTGGTCTCTGTGCCCACAGCTCACGGGGGCCCTTGGCTTGTATCCCTGCCTGTCCCCGCCTGCCACCCTGCCTTCTCCACCCCAGAGGGACCCTCCTTTAACCTGCACTTCCTCACTGGCTGATGTTGGAGACACATAACTTCATACCCTGCAACTGTGTCACCACTTTTCACCCTGGGACAGCAATGCCAATCTCGCAGGATTAGGGACATGTCACACAGTGCTTGGCTCCTAACAGGAACTCACTGAGGTATTACTTTGTCTTGTTTGTTTGCTTTTTATTTTTATTATTTTTATTTTTTTTTAATATATTTTATTGACTTTTTACAGAGAGGAAGGGAGAGAGATAGAGAGTTAGAAACATCGATG